AAATAATAAATAAAATTATATAAAAATAATATAAAAAATTATTTCTAAATTATTTTTCTCTCATCAAAACTCGCCATAACTTTCTTCATGTTTACATTTGCTCAGTCAACTAGCCCACTGCCTGTCAGTCAACTAGCCCACTGCCTGCCCAACCGTTCCAATATAAAAGGACAGATCAGCTCTGTTTCAAAGCTGCTAGTTCTTCGTTAAAATTTCTTTTTAAAAGATATACTGTATAAATTAAGTCTCGCAAGTAATGGTTATGTTATCCAATTTTTACGGTTAGAAAAAGAAAAATCATAAGCCTTTTTTAAAAAGTAAATTTATTATTTAATCTTTATTTTTATCTTTTTATTTTTTGTAAGTTAAAATTTTTACGGCTAAGTATAAAGAAATGATGCGTTAATTAATTATTACCTGGCCGTCGCCTGAGTTCGGTGAAGGTGAAGCAGCTGGCAGATAGCTTTCACCGGCGGCCTGACCTGCTACTTCTCCAGAGGCCGAAGCCACAGTGGTCGATCTCATTTCTCAGATCTGATATTCGTCTTTTCTTTCGTCTCTAATTGTAAGAAAGGGCGCAGAAAGGGCGCACGACAACGTAGAGATTATATCTGGCGCTACACTTACAAAGGAATTTTCTGACCCATGTTGTTTAAGTCACAAGTCAAGTCTTATTTATTATAATATTTAGATAAAATAAAAAATTAGGGAGCCTTGACAGGATAAGGTTTTTATCAAATCATCAATTACATGAATAGACGTCTTGAAAATTTGAGGATCTTAATATTTATTATTAATTTTATTTAAATTTTTATATAATATTTAAATAAAATATAATATAAAATATAAAAAAATAATATAATATTTTATTTTATTTTAAAATTTAAAAAATTATGAATTTCATACAAAAATTTAATAAAATTAATTAAAAATTTTCAAATTAATAAATTTTAACTTATTCTCTCAACTGTCAAGGCATTGATTTGATAAATGAAGTAGCTCGGACTGCATGTGCACTGATGGATCGCCGATTGCTTACTTGAAGGGAGGTTTCTTTTGACTTGAAATACTTAAAATATTATATTTTTTTTAGATATTAAAAACTCATAATATATTCATAATTTTTTTAATTTATATTTTTAGAATATGAGTATAATTAATATATTTTTATATTAATT